TGTGTGTGTGTGTGTGTGTGTGTGTGTGTGTGTGTGTGTGTGTGCACGTTTTCATGCAGTGAAGGTGGGGTTGAAAGGGAACACTGGAGGCGGTCGTTTCTCCGGTTTTCTGCATCCATCCGCACTTGCAGACCACACCCAAAAGATTTCCTGCTGGCCACGGTTCTCGTAGCAAAAGTAGCATACCTGTTTTTTTCCTTGGCCTGTGGCAAAAGTGGCATATCTATTTTCTTTTCGCATGCAGGTGCGCCCGTCGCTCGGAAGGCCGTCTGGGTCTCGTTCACACCGTTTGCTTGTCATTTCACTTCTCCCTTTATTTTTCCCATGTTTCGTGATCTCTGACAAAATACAAGCTGCAGGCTTGATTGCAAATTCTCTCTCCGCTCCACTGGTACTGTCTGTTTTCCTTTTCACTTTTCTTTCCTCCTTTTTCATCTCTCTTTACACGTCTGACAAAGTACACGATTGCGGTCTACGGCCATTGCGGTCTACGGCCTTTGCCTATCGAAGACCGTGACCCAAACCTAAACCTGTTCGTGTCTTCTTCACACAACGGACTTGTCTGGAGATTGCGGCCGTGACAACGACCAAGAGTTGGATAAAAACCGGTGTGCACTGTGTTCGTGTCTGTGTGTTCCTCTCCTGATATCGTTAGCTTCCAACGCTAGGTCACTCAGACCTACTGTAGCCTCCAGCCACGCGACACAGACATATATACGTATAGCAATAGCAACGAAGTACATTGGGCCACGCTCCACTACTCTCCACATGCACAAAAGACAAAAAAATTGGCAATGCATCTTTCCATGTTCTAGCGGAGGATTCAGTCTCATTTTGCACATTAGGAGACTATCCAGCGAGGCCCATTACCAACCCGCAACTGGAATGGTACGGTGGTGGGACTGCACGTTATTGCCCCCTCCCACCGACGGACAAAAACTGTGCGCCGCGTGGACGTGCCTAGTTGCCACCTGCCTAACCTCGATTCACATTCCCCCCCCCCTCTCCTCCCCCAACAAGCAACGTTTGCACGCATCCCTGCGTAGCAAGCATGACATGAAGCCGCGTGGCATGCTGCTGACAAGTTCGGTGACCTGGCATGTCATTCCCAACATGCACCCGGCGAAAGCAACAGAATCTTCCAGGCGAACTGACCTCTTCTTCTTTTCCTTTTTTTGCCAGACCTACCGACTTGATTCAAAAGACACGCGATTCTTTTTTTTTAGAGCACCCTGATTTGCCGAAACAGGGCGTGGAAATCATCTAAGGCTCTACCCCCAGTGGGTACACCCCTGAATTGTTGAAATACAGACCCGAGTTCGAATCGAATTCCACTGGACGCAGATGAGTGAAATTATACTACAATTCCGGAAGGAAAAAAACAAACAAACAAACAAAAATCATAAGGCTAGAATGACGGCGAAGCACGGGTGTAGTTTTGAACAACGCACGGGCGCGGGGGGGGGGGGGGGGGGGGGAGTGTACTTCTCCAAAACTACGAGCGTGCGTACCAGCCACCGACGGATCCCCCGTTTTCTAGAGGGCGAAATAAGAGAAACAGCTGTTGCACTTCGCTGACCTCCACGCAACATCGCGGAATGGCAGAGTAGCAAAATGCGCCTCTCTCCTCTCCAAGCGGCATAAAGCTCACTCAGGGAAGACAAGGCGAATGCCACAGCACTAAAAAGGCGAACTGCAGACCGCTCAACATCATCGCGCTAGCTTACGAAAGTAGTTTTACCGCTCAATCATTCTGCTGCGGTAGACAGGGACCACCCAACAGAAGCGCGCGAGGGCGATGAAAACCGACAAGGACGTCGACCTTGAACGACTGGTCACCAAACTTGAGGAGCGGCAATCACTAACAATGATCTTCACGACGATGACGACATCAAACAGTCTGCTGCGGTACACAGCTTGAACGATATGTTATGATATGTTTATACGTACAGCCCCTCGTTTGTTGTCCTCTTCTCTCCCTCTCTGCCACCTCCGGTTTACCGGGCAGCTCTGTTTGACGATATACAGTATATATCGTCGTCAAACAGAGCTGCCCGGGAAATCGGAGGCAGAGAGTGAGAGAAGAGGACAACATATCGTCAAACAGAGCTGCCCGGGAAACCGGAGGTGGCAGAGAGGGAGAAAAGGACAACATATCGTCAAACAGAGCTGCCCGGGAAACCGGAGGCAGAGAGGGAGAAGGAGGACAATAAACGAGGGGGGGGACTGTGACAAACTGTTTATATATCGTCAAACAGAACTGCCCGGTAAACCGTCGGCAGAGAGGGAGAAGAGGACAACAAACGAGGAGCTGTACGTATACATATCATAACATATCTACATATATCTATATATTATATATCGTCACAGACATATCAGAGCGCAAAGGCGAAAAAAAACAAAAAGCATGTATATATAACCTGATGAGTCGGTGAAACTCCGACGAAACAGTTTGTCACAGCCCCTCGTTTGTTGTCCTCTTCTCTCTCTCTGCCTACGGTTTACCGGGCAGTTCTGTTTGTGACGATATATATAAATATATATGGGGTCTTCCACTGAATTTGGCCACGGAGAGCCGGCAAGGCATGTTTGTTTTGTTTACTGTCGTTTACTATCGTTTACCGTTGTCTACCGTTTTCTTCTTTCTCCCTATTATATCCATCCATTGGGCACTCCTTCCCTAACTGTACAGAAGGGTAAACAAATTCACAAAAGAGCAGGGAAAAAAAAAAAAAAAAAAAAAAAAAAAAGGGAGCATCGAGCGACAGCGCCAACCTTGAATCAACAATTTCTTTCATTTTTTCTCTAACCTGAATCAGCGATTTGTGTAAGCGACAGGATAGGATTATTGACAGAAGGAGCTAGCGGCAGAGTTCGTCCCTTCCGATAAAACAGGCAACAAAAAAATTTTTTTTTACATGTATCTGACCGCAATTACAGCCACAGAGCATACTCACACTAGAATATTTCTTTACACTAGTATCTGACTGCAATTACAGCCACAGAACACGCTCGCAGAAACTCCTTGTGTAGCTCTACCTCAAATTTAATCACCTATACCTGGACATAGTCCGCCCACGGAGACGCAATTGCACTACCTAAACCGAGGCCATATAACCAGGCGGGCGACAGTGCCCCGGCGCCATGGAAAAATTGACATTGTGCGGACTATGCGCAATTCTCTTCATTCGTTTCTTCTTCTCACCACGCCCGTATTCACCTTCTTTCTATTGTTTTTTTTTTTTTTTTTTTTTTTTTTTTTCAATTGTTTTTTTTTTTTTTTTTTTTTTTTTTTTTTTTTTTTTTTATCTTTCTTTCTCATGGACGGCGGATCAGATATTACAAGTCGTAAAAGCTGATCAGAAGAGATAACAGCACTTGATCTTATAGCCAACAGACCGAGAAAGGTATATCCCCCGACTTCACGTTTACTTCTCTCTCGATTTGATTTTCCATTTTCCGCTCTTTACCATCTTCATCGAGTCTGTGCGCATTCGTTTGTCATTCAATTGATTCATTCTATTGTTTTTTTTTTTGTTTTTTTTTTTTCCAACCTTCTTTCTCATGGACGGCAGATCAGATATTACAAATCGTAAAAGCTGATCAGAAGAGATAACAGCACTTGATCTTATAGCCAACAGACCGAGAAAGGTATATCCCCCGACTTCACGTTTACTTCTCTCTCTCTCAATTTTTCTATTTTCCATTTTCCGCTCTTTACCATCTTCATCGAGTCTGTGCGCATTCGTTTGTCATTCAATTGATGCAACTCCCTGAGCTGGGCCTAACTAACCATGAGAGCGAACCAACCACTGAGCGATAGGAGCTCGCCAACGACCAAAACAGGGCTGTGACGGAGAGAGAGAGAACGAGAGAAGTAAGAGGGGGGGAGAGAGAGAGAGAGATACACACTTGCAATATGAGACAAAACGTGCGAGGTTTTACTATCGCAGCATACACGTCATGTCCATGGCATGCGACAACTGTCGCGATTACCCTTCTACCTCACTGCTCAGAGAGTGAGAGAGAGAAATGGGGATACAGTATCATCAAAGGAGAGTCAATCCCCCCAAGCAATGGCACTGAAGCAAAGCAGGGGCAAAAGGGAGAGGGATGAGCAGCCGAGTAAGAGGCGACAACGCAGAAGCCAAAAAGCCGCACAGTGCAACACATGAGAAAATATACTAGAAGAAGCGTGTTGAATAAAAGGGGGAGACGAGGCAGAATAAAATGAACAAAAAGAAAGCAAAAAAGAAAGAGGGGAGTCGAAGCAGCAGTGAGGCCTCACGACAGCCACTAAACGACGAGATGTGTCAGAAGAGGGGAGTCGAAGCAGCAAGCAAGACGGGAGAGAACGTTCGAAGAACAAACACCATGACACACACACAGGGATGGTTGAGCAGAGCAGAGCAGAGTCGATATTGGGAGTATTGAGCAATGATAGGTCGTGAGCCCCGAATAGAACGCCCGGTCATTATCGCTCGCTGCATGAAGACTGAAAGTGGCACCGAAAACAGGTATAACGACCAGGCGTTCTATTCGGGCAAAAACGGCGGTAGTCTCTCTCACCTCGGCTTTCTTTTGCAGCTTGACGACTGGGCTCTCTTCCTGCTGCGTCTGCTGCTGCTGTTGCTGCTGCTGTTGCTGCTGCTGCTGCTGCTGCTGCTGCTGCGGCGGCGGCGGCTGTTGCCGTTGTTGTTGTTGCTGTTGGTGCTGCTGCAACAGTTTCGTGGTCCCCAAGGAGCCTGCTCTCTTCCGCTCTGCTCTCCGCTTCTCATCCTTGCCCCTGAGCCTTGACTGTCCTATATTGCGGCGAGAACCTGCACGGCCATCCCCCGCTCTTCGGCCAGAAGATCCGACCCCGCCTCGTCGTCGCGCAATCAAGGACAGCTTCGAAGAGCCGCCCGACTCGCCATCAACAAAGACCACCTCTTCCGACCCACCATCCTCCTCCTCGGGTTCTGTTCCTTCGTGTGCTGAGCGAGAGAAAGGTATACTGCTCGTAGGACAGGCACGGCACCTTCTGGCCTTTCTGCTGGAACTTCGTTCGCTGCTTTTCCCCGCGCGCATCCTTGCCGCCGCTTCCGCCCTCCGCCGCCTCCCGCTGCTGGGCAGACTGTAGCCCGCGGAATCTGCCCCCGAATCTTCTTCTTCTTCTTCTTCTTCTTCTTCTTCTTCTTCTTCTTCTTCTTCTTCCTCATCCTCATCATCGTCACATTCGTCGTCCTCTTCCTCCTCCTCCTCATCTCCCTCTGCTTCTGCATCATCTCCCGATTCTTCATCGTCTTCCTCCTCATCATCTTCATCCTCCTCATCCTCATCGCCGCTGGCCAATCCCTCCACCATTTTGTCGGCCTCGATACCTTCGTCTCCCGCCGAGAACACCTTCGCGCATCCCGTTGCGCCCTCGACCAAGTCCGGCGAACCCTCTTTGACTTCAACATTCCCCCAAGGAGAGGTACCCTGCGGCTCCTCCCCTTCTTCGCGTCGCCGTGCCCCATCATCATTCCTCCCGCCGCCAACCCCAAGTCCTCCCTCCTCGTTCATCGGTAACTCCGCTTCCCGTTCGTCGAGCCAGCCGCCAGAACTTGCCACGTGCCGTGCTCCTGCAGCTCTCACATGCCTCGTTCGCTCCATCTGCTGCTGGTCGCCGCTTATGGCTCGCAGCAACCGGTCAGCCGCCGACGCATCGCCCCCCCCCCCCGCTTCTGCTGCGCCTTCGCCGCGATCATCTTGCCGCAACTTGGCGTTGGCCACCGTCGATTCGTCTTCGTTTGATTCCCTCGTCGCTTTCGAGAACGCCCTTCCTCGTACTATTACATCAGCGATGGGTTCCGCCTCCATCCAACTGCATTTGGCCATGTCGTCGGAGGCGACGGCTACAGTCGATGATGATAACCGGGAGGGGGAAGCCATAACAGAAGCAGGAGGAGGTCCCATCATCATCTCGACTCGCTGTTCGGTCCTGTTTCCGCTTCCTGTTCGGTCCGGGAAGTGCATTCCTCCCTCCTCCTGATCCGATTTGCCCTTACCTCTCCTGTGATCCCTGCTTCCCGCGCCTTCCTCAACCTCCCGCCACACCAGTAAACGGGCGCTTGCATTCCCCCCTCCTCCTCCTCCCTGCTGCTCCTGTTGCTCTCTGCGCGCCATCGCCAGCTCCTCATCTGCTTGCTCTTCTTTCGCTGACAAACCCATCTCTTCTTCCTGCCGCCCATCTATCATCTCCCCGTCTCTGGTCTCCGCTCCACACACTTCGCCAATCGTCGTCCCATCCGCCGGCGATGATGTCGGGATCAGATTCCTCCTCCACACCGCCTCCCCTTCTCCCCTTTCCCCACCCTCGCCTGGCCTCGCACTCCCCCCGACGCCGGTATTTGTGCTCGTGCTGCTGCTGCCGCCGTCATGTCCTTTCAACACCACCCTGTTCGTCACCAACACGTGTCCGCCTCCAACACGTGTCCGCCTTGCCTCCCGTGCCTCCACAGAATAAGAGCGACGCCCCCTGTCCTCGAAAAACCCTCCTCGGCCCTCTGCCTTCAAATCAGCCATCATCGCATCCCGTTCGCTATCGCTGCCGGTGATCCGCTCCGCTCTAACAGATACAATCGTCGTCTTTCTCTCGAGACTCATTGTCTGATCCCCAGTCAACTGTTCCCGATCATCGTCCCCAGGGGCAGCCGTAGACAGGGCAGCAGCGTGTTCATCGTTCCACCGTCCACCGTCTCTGCATTTGGCTACAGAGGAGGAAGAAGGATTAGGAGCCGCGGATCGCGCCGCTTCCGTTTCCACCACCATCTTCATGAGTCGTCGTCCGGCGAAGTCAAAGGAGGCAACACGATCTACCTCGGCCTTCACGACCGCCTCCTCCTCTGACGAGCCCAGCTTCATCGGTGGAGGGCGAGGGGGGGACAGCATCCCCTCACGTCCACCCCTTCCCTCCTCGTTCCGCCATCCTTCGTTGCGCAGTTGTAGTTTGCCGCCGCCCTCCCCTGCGCACAGGCCACCACCACCTGTTATAGGTCTTCCGCGGCCTCCCTCACAAAAATTCGTTAAGAGCTCGACGCTCCTCCCATCCACGCGCCGTGGCAAGGGCCGGTTACCTGGCGTCGCCGTCCTCCGCTTCTCTTCCCCCTCTTCCCCCATCAATCCGTCTCCGCCGTTCGCTCCTGGGGTGTCCGCCGCGTTCCCCTGCCAAGCTTGCCATGGCAATACTACTGATTTGACGGACAACCCCCCTCTCCCAGGACCGTGTGCCCCCCCCGCACCTCCTGCACACACCCCCGCGGCGGCTTCGCCGGTCGATGCAGCGCCTTCCTTAGCCGACTTCCCGACGGATATCCTCCTATCTCCCCCTGTTCCTCTCAGCCTCTCCTCCCCACCTCCACCTGTCCGCCGCGATTCCTCGTTAACGTTGGCAGACGAGGTATTCTCACTCGCCACCCCTCCTCCCGTCGTTGCCACTGGACCCCCCACATCGCCCCAGTGCGGAAGTGCGCATACGACAGGCGACCGCGTGGGCTTGCGCTGCTGCTGTGAGATCGTTGCGTTGGCTCTTCCCCCTCCTTTGGATGTTCCATGCGGCGCAGACGAGGGATCCATGTTCAAGGTCTGCACTTGCGGATCGGGAATCTGCTGATCGTCTTCCTCCTCGATCGACAGGGCACCAGGACGGCAGAGAATGGAGGAAAAAGCACGGAGAGATTGGCTGCCTTGCCCGGCACCTCGCCCACGATGTCTGGATATACCACCGATAGCAGGGGACGTGGAACGAAAGCTAGCTTCTGGCAGTGGGGATGAGCCGCGACGGCCTTCCCCTTCGTCCTCAACATCTCCCTCATCTAGGAAACGCGTTGATAAGGACGGGGCACGAAGAGAGCAGGGGCGCGGTCGCGCATCCAAGGAATCCCCGTCTAGACACTCCTCCGTGCCTCCGTGGCTTCCGTGAGAATAGCGTAAAGCCTGCTCCGCACAAAAAGAGCCCTTGACCCCTCCGTTCTTCGCGGCATTACAAGCCGCAGCAGCATGTTCGTCGTCCGCAGCAAGAGGGCCTACGCCGTGTGCAGCCGCCCATTCTCTTGTCAACCGCCTGCCTCTCTCCGAGGGTGAAAACGTATCCCCGGATTGCACATCCTCTCCCGCCAAATCGACCACCATCTCATTGGCTCCCCTCCCCCCCCGCCCTTCTTTGATTAAATCCCTCCTTAAACCCTCCTGCCGTTCGTCATCGCCCAACGTGACGTCGCATTCCGTCTGCACCCCAATCGAACACTCCACTGCGTTATTTTGCATCAACATGATTCTCAATCCGTCCGTCTGAGGCACCAATCCTTCCTCCACATCAGTCCCTTTCCCACCACCAACATTTCGTCCTCGCCCTTGAGAGGATGATGCTATCTCGTGCCCTCGCGCCCCAGTCCTTGCACTTATTCCGCGGCCATCTGACGCTTCCTCTCCCGCGATCGACGCATCCGCTCCCGCTCCTGCGGTTGTCGTTACTGCCGACACTGCAGCCGCCGCCACAGTCGCTGCTACTACGGCGGAGTCCCTGGTCGCCTTCTGTCTCGTATTTCTTCCGTGACCACTTCTTCCTCCTCCTCCTCCCACTCCTCCTCCCACTCCTCCTCCCACTCCTCCCGCTCCCCCCTCTCCTCCTCCGGGCAAAGCATTCAACTTCGCTCGCTTCTTCGATGCCCCCCCCTGCCCTCCTCGAACAACCGAAGACGACGCGTGACCACCAGTTTCGGCCGCCGTGCTGCCATCAAGCACGGCGTCGTTCTCGCATTCCTTGGCGCGACCATGTCTTCCTCCTTCTCCCCCCTGCCCAACCCCTCCTTGCGGGAGGATCACCACCTCCCTTCCTCCTTGGCTACGAGGCGAGGACGGGACCCCGATTTCGATTTCTCTCGACCCCCCTCCTTCTCCAGTTGCTGCTCCTGCTGCTGCTACTCTACCCTTCGGTCCCGGCGGCGTCACGACCGACGCCGCCACCTCCCCTTGTCTTCGCTTCTTGCTCGGTCTTCCTCTCTGTTTTTTTATAACTGGGGAACTATCCTCTCCTTTCCCGCCAGACACCCCATCGAATTCCTCCAAGGACACCTGCGCAGGCATACCGCCTTCTCCATCAATAACCACGGCATCGCCACTCACGTCCACCATACCCACCAGCTTCCCCTCGGCGCTCGGCACGTTTCCGCAGTTCCGCGTAACTTGTGGTTGCTTTACCAGTCGGCGCGTGAGACTACTTTCTCCATCTGCTCCCCTAGAACCGCTCTCCTCCAGCCTCCATGTCGCCTCCATGGCAAACCCCGTGCAGGCCTTCTTCCCCACCGCAGTCAGAGGAGGCGGCGGCGCATTTAGGAACCTCGTCTCAGCGGAGGACGAGGGCAATCCCATAACGTCACTCGCCACCAACTCCTTCCTCATTTCCCTTCCGGCGGTGGACCCCTTGCCCGCCTCTCGTGCCTCCTCTTGCCCGACGAACGCTCGTCCTCCTCCTGCGCCGCCGGAGTCCCTTGTCGCCCCCCGCCCTCCGCTGCGAAGATGATCGTCACCCTCAAGCCGCGCTTTCCTTCCGCCATCGCCACAGCAGAGATCCTCATCCTCCGACCCGTCCGCTTGTTTCTTCATTGCGTTGTTTACCTCATCCTCTTCAAGAACCACGTCATCGTCTCCCTCCTCGACGAGTTCCACCACCTCATCACCGTCCTCTTCCTCCTCTTCCTCCTCCGCCTCCCTTGTCAACCTCCTCCTACCTTTCAAGCCGCTATCCCCCTTCGATGACACGTTCGCCTCTTCCACTTCCCTGTAGCTCGCCCGCAACGAGACCCCCCCGCCTTGTCCCAGCCACGGCGGCCCCCTACCTGTTCCTCTGCCTTCGCTCGCATCTCTTGCCCTTCCCTTCTTCTTCGCATTACCCCCTCCTTCCACCGAAATTGTTCCACCCCCAGTACCTCCTTTTCCTGCCACAAACGCGCCCCGTCCATGATGCCCGTCTACCGAGGCGGCAGGCGCCATCCCTCCAACGCCGTACAATTTGTTGGACAAATTTGTCGCAGCAATCTCTCCCTGCGTAAATCGGGGTAGTTTGTCATGAGCGATCGCCCCAGCAGGCGATCCGACGATGGACGCAGAGGTGGTCCCCACCACTGAGGCCGCCACGGCCGCCGCAGCACTGGCGCGTGTCACTCTACCAGTAAGCGCGCCAATTGAGGAAGGGGTGGACGCCTGCGGAGACGGCGAAGGCACAGGGAAGGTCGGAGAAAGCGGCGACTCCAGCGGTGAAAGTGGTGGCAATGCCGCAGGGAGAGATCGGGAGCATGACAACTGCACATGTTGATTGAACTTGGGATCGGCGAACGCCGCCCCCTGTCCCGCCTCGGCCTTTCCCGGGGTCGGAAGCTGCCCACCTCCTCCATCAAGGAGAACCGCCGTCGCTGTACAGCTTAGGCCCCGTTGCTGAGTGGACAGATTTCCCTGAAGAACCGGCGCATCAGTCCCAACATCCTTCCGTTTTCGTCTCTGAGGTGCCATCCCGAGCGACTGACCGCAATGGGGAGTACCATCGACGATAGAATGCACACCCCCAACCACTCGTCCTCGTGAAGTGCTCAAGATCTCAGTGGGTTCCTGTGGCAATCCGTCTGGTCACAATGAGATGCCGCAAGGGCCGCCAGACCTGCCCGAACCCATCGGTAAGCTTCACAATTTCTCCTCCTCCTGCTCTGGCACTAAATCTATCCTTTCCTCATGGCGGTGCTGATGCTGCTTTTTCTGCGAAGAGGCAAATCATGTTGATGATGCTCCAGCTCCTCCCTCTGCTGCTGCTGCTGTGTCCACTGCTCCTTGGTCGCCGTCAACTCCTGTTGGACCACGTGTTCCCTAACAAGTCAGCATCATACTAGTCATCCCATTCTACGGCGTCGTTTTTTCCCTCTAGCCCCTGGTATTCCTCTCCACAGGCCCTCTCTCTCTCTCTCTCTCTCTCTCTCTCTCTCTCTCTCTCTCTCTCTCTCTCTCTCTCTCTCTCTCTCTCTC